GTGTACACCGCCCCTTGCCCATGCGCCAGCTGGGATTGGCTCCAGGTTCCCCGCAACCTTATTCAGGAATAAGCGGTATAGAGGATAGATGTCTGACTTCACTAGTTTCTTCTGCTTTTTTACATAGCAAATACATTTTTCCCAAAGGCGATTTCTGGCATACCCTCCATTCTCCAGTCATTAACTTCTTCTCTTAACCCTCTTCCTCCCTCCCTCTTTCTCTCTATCATTCAGACACCTGTTTGGTGGCTGTGATAAGCAGAGGTGTTATCTATCAGATGGCTAATTTAGAACGATACAGCTGATACACATGTGTGTTTAGGTTCAGGGAGAAGTGTGTTTTCTCATCTGTATTGTGCAGGTTATAACAGGGCTAATGAGTTAATATACTGTCCTCTGAAGTAACACAAGGGCGTGTGAAAGAGCAAGATGTAAAAACAGATCACATACATATCAAACATTCACACACATTCAAAATAAAACATGAATCCACCAAAGACACTTTGAAAAGGCGACTCTTTATTTTCTAATGATTATACTGTATATAATATTCTTTTTGTCTAGATATAGGTAATCATATTTTATATCATGTAAGTAAAAGTGTGCTTTTATTCACAGCATGTGTCCACATCAGACCGCTGTTAGTTGGAGGTTTACATTATAAAGTATACAGTGAAACTGGCTGGCAGCTATGTGCATGTGTGTGTGTGTCTGCATGTGTGTGTGAGCAGTGACAGTTATACAGTCAGTGTGCCTGTGTAAAGAAAGACAAATGTGAGTGCCAGCATGTTTCTGCATGCATATGAGTGTGTGTGTTTGTAGAGGGCTAAGTATGTCATGATAGGGCTCAGAGGTATAAAGCAGGATAAATAAAAAAAACTGCCCACTGACACAAATTTTTAAAACAGAAGATCATCTTCAACCTTTAAACATCTCACTTATCACCTGGAAAACTTTACAGTGTCATTTTTGTGGGTGTTGTTGATTAATTCATGTTCCAGCTGCACATTTGACTTCAGGCTCTCACTTTTCACTTTCATCACTGCTGCAAAGTAACACTGATGATCCCCGGTTTCATGAACAGATGGCTGGTTGCTATTTATTCTCCACATCTCCATCTGAATAGTTTCACCTCAAAGCAAACTGCTACAATGACTGCAAGATACACACCCTGAAAAAAAGCCATTAGCTGTCTGCTAGGCTACACATATAATAAATAGAAAATAATATTTCTGGATCCTTTTACTCTGTTTCTGTGGCTCTCCTGTGAAGTGACTGCTCCATCTCAGTAATTTACACCAAATAAACCAAAACCTGAATCAATAAACCAACTAACAAATTCTTAAAAAAACATGTACGCATGTATATGTCTTCTCCTGAGTTTGCACTCTGGCATTTGTTTTCTAACAGTCCTCAGGTCAGGTTAAAACAGATCAAGTCAAATTAAACTGTTTAATTTTTTGTGTCCCACTTTAAATAGCAAGTCTGAGAGTCTAAAGTGATGCCAGTGGCTCTGTGAGGTGGCAGTTTGCCACGTTTGAGTTAAACGCTAACATCAGCATGCTCACAAGGACAATGCTAACCTGCTGATCCCTAGCAGTATAATGTTAAACATGTTCATTATCTTAGCTAGCATTCTAACATTTTGCTCATTAGTACAACACATCGGCGGACACTTGGCTTTCTTGAATGAGAGTCTGACTCTCAAACATCTGATAACCTTTTTGTATAAGACCAACTTATACTTTTACTTCTTGAAATAGACATAACATTTCCTGTTGCTTCTGCTCATAGTTCATACAGTATGGAGCCTGAATACACCTGATGCAGAGAAAAACATCTAGTAAAACATTCTGCCATTCTGGGCCTTTCATCCTTGGTCAGTCTGCCACGCCAGCCATTGATATGTTTTGTATGTAAACAACACTGTCTCAACGGGGGGCCTGAGGCAAAAGTGTAGATTTGAATCTCTCTATACTTCCTGTCACATTAACATTACCTAAAATGCAAGGTCTGAAGTCTCTTTAGCTAACGGGCTAAAGGTTGGCACAAAAACAAGAAAGTGTTAAGGAATAAAGTGGGCCTGGAAACAGGCTCCATGGCTGGAGTAATTCTTGAAGTCACGACTGCTATTTTAACCATTGTATTTAGAAAGCTTTTTTTGAAAACCAACCATTTTCCTGTGTAGAATCTCTCGTTACATTTTCCTGCATTAACAACACAAGCTTTAATGGGTAGTGGAATGAACTCTCACATTGTCAGACAGCAGAAATGATGTCTTGTGAAACCTCCTAGAGATGAATCATCAACAGCACAACAAAAAGTTCTGCAGATCAAGCAAGTAGTTTTTCTGGTTTTTGGCTGATTTTGGGAAGTTTGAGAAGATGAGGAACAGCAGACTAAACCAGGTTGTGCTCATTCAAGACCAGCTGTCATCAGGGACCCGATAGATTATTGTCTATTCTGCTAAGCCCCCTCTGCCGATCCTAAATCAGTTTGACAGACAGAGACAAGCTCAAAAAACAAGTTGGATCCTACCAGCAGGTGTGTCAAAATAAAAGCCCAACGGTCCAGTCAGGCTTTTAAAATGAAAAAAGAAATGACTGAACCAAAATCCTCTGAATCTAAAACAGTCATTGTAGCTTGTATGGCTGCGTCTGCTCAGGGCCTATCAGGACAGTTAGCTCTAAAATTGATCCCAGTGCAACCCTTAACGGTTGTGGGACTGCAGAGGAGGTTATACTGGAAGCCCCATGGCTGATCTGGGAGCTGAAGGCAGGACAGGCAGGCACTGGGTGCATGGGTGAGGAGAGGCTAACTGCACACACACAGAAACACATAAACATGCAGGCACATAACTCTAGTCATAAGCCCTCCTCACACAGTATGCTTGTGTGTGTAAGTGTGTGTGTGTTGATAGCAAGTGCAAAGTGTAGAGTGCTTATAGCATGTGTTTTGTCTCAGAGCTATTCCATTAAATTCACATTTATCAAACAGGTCTTCTACTCCTTTGTGTTTGATTAGCAGGCTCAGTGGATTTGCAGTCCCCATGAGGAGTGACACGTCAGCGACAGTAACAGTTTCTGGGTTTTCTTCTGATGAAACACTCATAATGATTTTCCAAACGACACTGGATTGTTTTCTTTTAACAGGACACAAGTCTCCCCACACTACACCGGGCACAGCTGTGAGTTGTTGAGGGGTGTATGAGTTTCTGTGTTCTGGTGTTTCTATACTCATGGGGACCAATATTTCATGCTTGCTAGACAAATCCTCCAAAGTTATATCTGTTTCTTTTTGAACAATTTCACAGTGCAAAATGATAGAAATCTTAATTAGCCAAATTTCTAAACCGATTTTGGTTTTATATTAAGAGAAATTTGTATTGGGATGTTATTATTCCATCATAATGTGACTGCTGTATTGAAAGACAGCAAACAAAACAGATGAACCGATGCCTGGCTAACCTTAGATTAGGGATCGGTCTATTTTTAGCAACCAAAGGTTTTCTCACAGCTTCCTTTGGAGCATCCAGTTGTCTCAATGTCTTTCTCTTAACCTACTTTTATTTTTTTGTCACCATATAACCATCTAAATGGCCACATCCCTGTTAAGGTGCAGTATTTTGACTACATTTCTAATCTGTAATTACATTGTATTATTTGGTTTTAAAATAAATTAGGCCATACAGTAGTTAATGTGTTTGCCTGGAAAAACACTACTTCTGTGAAGTTTAAAATGTCGCTTTTCTGTTGAAACTTAGGTTTGAAACTTTTTTTTTTTTTAAGACGTGTGTAAGATGCTACGCTGACAGTCTCTGTGCCTTTTGGCTTGACCTTATCACGCTAATTATGCGGTTAGCAACACAGAA